ATAAATCTTTGTTGTCATGTTCAATATGAGATCTTACCATTATACTCGACTTCATAGCTAGCCACTAGGTCAACATCAGCTGCATCCATTTTCTTCTTCATTTCAATTATGTCTTGCTCAGGAAGAAACGGGCCCCTAAAACACGTTCGACAATGAAAGTGTTCAAATTTGCAATCGCTTTATCTGAGTACGTATTGAGAAATCACCTGTAATCGCAGACAATCTGATTTTTTAGGATTTCACACCTCGCGAACAATCCTTTTCCATTGATGATTGGAATATCGCGCACTTGAAGCCAAGAAAAACCCTTAAATTGCTTAATAATTTTTGCTTTATGCGTACATGCATCACGGGATCAACTGACCTGTACTGGTTGTTCCGTACGCTGTAAATTAAACAACTGCTTCTCATATTCGCTCATGTAGAAAACCCAAATCCGCCCCAACGCACGCTCTTCTATTATGCATTCGCATGTAGTCAAGCACTTTCGCGGGATCAGCTATCATCGGCAGTTCTTCTTCCACTTCGGGTTCAACCTGCTCTGGTTCTTGTTCCTGTTCATGTTCACCGGTTACCACACCCGGCTGCTCTTCTGCCACTTCTGCCATTTCATGATCACCAGCTACAACATCTAGTTGCTCCTGTGCTTCTTGCTCCATTGCATGTTCACCGGTTTCCACACCCGGATGCGCCTCTGGTTCTTGCTCCATTTCATGTTCACCTTCTACGACAGCCTGTTGCACCTCTGGAACTTCTTCCATTTCATCATCACTGGCTACTAGACCCTATCGCTCCTGTGCCTCTTGTTCCTGTTCATGTTCACCGGCTTCCACACCCGGTTGCTCCTCTAGAACGTCTTCCAGTTCATGTTCACCGACTACGAGAACCGGTTGCTCTTCTGGCACCTGATCTATTTCATGTTCACCTTCTATCACAGCTTGTTGTACGTCTGGGACTTCTGCCATTTCATGATCACCGGCTATCACTTCCTGCTGTTGCTGTTGCCCCTCTGGTACTCCTTCCAATCCACGTTCACCGGCTGATCGATGAACTGGTCGCTCCTCTGAAGAATCGTATTCTTCTGAAAATGAACTGACAGGCTGGTCCGATTCATCTTCACGATCATCCAATTCATCGTCTGTAGCAGCATCTTCACGTTGTGGTGACGGTTCAGCTTCACTTCCATCTCCAACGGCTCGTGGTTCACGCACACTAAACTTGCTTTTGTACAGAAATTTTGGGCTGTGAATAAATAAGGAATGCACTTACGCTCCTTCCGCACTCAACATTTCCTCGACTTGAGCTAGCTGTGCAGCCATTTCTTCTTGGCTTTCCTCCTCAACTGCATAGCTTCTCAGGATCAGATAGCCGAAGATACAGCATAGCTGATATCTTTTCACGTATAGCTTCCTGTTGCGTCCTTATGCTATGTGCTGTTAAAGTGCAAATGATAAATCATAATCAATGGATAAAATGCGTGTGCCGCATAACAGCCAGGTTATCACTCACATTGTAATAAAGCCACATTAATATTAGTGAATCTGTCCTTCAAGAGTTGCAGTCGTGTCCTGATCTCCTTCTCAAATTCTATGTGTCCCACGCTGTGCCTTGTCTAAACCAAAATCACAATAAGCAGTCATAAGGTCAACAATGTTGTTGAGGACTCACCGTGCTACTGTTTATTCCCAGCGTTCCACACCCTAACCTCCTGAACAAGTGCTTCATCATAGAACGCGAGTTTTCTTTCACTTGGCGCCCACTCCACTGTATGAAAAACCTCTTCATTGTTGTGTTGGCATCCGCTATACCCTTTTGGCGGCACACGCTAAATAGAAGATCATAAATGACCGGGAAAAATGCGTCCACATACTCGAAACATACTGTTCACGAAGTTTTCCATAGTAGTCGAGCCACTTCCTACATTTTTCATCAACGACAAAATAGCCACCGCCTCTGCCCATTGGGTCACGCGCTACATTGTAGCGCTTCCGCCTAGGGTACTTTCCGACCTGAACGGATGATCCAGTATCTCTACACCAAACTGAGACTCTTCAATGGGATAAATTGTGTTTTATTCACCCAGAAGTTTTCTGTGATACCAAGTGCAGGATTGGGCATAACGATTTCAAGTGCGGATATGTTGCTATAACGTGTTTTGAATGTAAGTTCATTTCGTGCACCATTACAGTGTAGCAGATGCACCATGACAGCACTAAAGAAAGCCCATTTTCTTCCAACGTTTAGGACACGATTGCTCAAGTACCTCACCTCATCACATAGTTGTAATCTGCGTGCGTTTAACGATGAGCTATCTTCATCGAATCTTCTCATGATTTGTTTTATCCTATCCTCCATCCTTAGACAGTTTACTACTCTTTTCACCACACAGTATGGTACTGTATTCTGAACATCAGGAACGTTTCGAACCGTGCAATTTTTGCCGTGTGTTTTGATGTGTTCTCTTACCTCCGGCCTTTCACTTTCATTGAGCCCTTGATATGTACTG